CAACATTTAACTCATCTTAGATTTGCTACCAAGGTCATGAAAAGAGGTGGTTATGCTACTTGAACAAATGTGCAATCTCACAGGTTTTAAATTAAAGTCAAAATAGATTTTTTGCTTGGTAAATTTGACCCAAATCTAGAATTAAATCACATCTGGAATTAAATCCCAAATCTAATTATTTGCCACCTAGTGGTTTTTCCATGGTGTTCATGTATTCTTTGGTTTCTCTCGATTTTTGGCTTGGTAAATTTGACCACGGATTTTCATATGAAAGCTGGTAAATAAAATTTATAATGGGAGTATCACACAGTCCTAACTCCTCATACCTAGCTCATTACATACATAGGAAAAATTCATTTAGAAGGGAATCAAATTTACAAACTAAATTAAATTCTTGTTAGCTGAGAACTATAAATTATGTAAAAAAAATCCTTCTCATGAGATTGCAACATAATCTTAAACCAACTATACTAATTCCCAGTATACATTCCTACTAATAAAACCATTGCAACTCACACGGACCACATGTGGAACAGTTGGTGTGCATGAGAAAGGCGCCACCTTCATTCCTGTGAATGAGAACACCCTCGGCTTGGACATCAATGATCCAAATGGAGATGGATGCTCGCTTCAGAACCCGCTCCTCCGAAACGCATGAGATTGCCAACGTCAGTGGGATTCTTCGATTTGGATTTTATAGCAAAAGAATAGTGAAGGCATCCCTTTGTGTGAATTTCTTCTTCTCCATCGTTTTGGTCTGGTATGAGCCTTAAATTTGAGACACAGAGCATGGAATCAAGGGCAAAATCTTCATTGCCCGTGGCCGAATCTGCATTATGTAAATCAAAAAGAGAAGATGAAAACAATTAAGAAGCAACCCAGCAAATTCTGAGCGAAAATAGCTAGCAATTCCTTACCTGTTATTTTTCAGAAAGCAAACCCAGCAAATGATGGGTACAAACCTACGCAGGAAATCGTTCGCCGAAGCAGCAACTGATTGAGCAATCATGGGGATGGTTCTTGCAGCTTTTTTATAGCAGAGGAACGCAGAACAGTGGAAGCATGTATCATCAAAACATCCTCAATGCTTGCCATTTTGGGTCAGTTAAGCCCATCCAGTCTGTACCGATGTTTACTTAGACAACGTAAATTGCGACACTCAAAATGTAGAGCAAAGTTGCATTCAGAGTGGGGACATTTAAGAGCCAGCTGATCTTTGCAAGGAAGGCTACATCTCTTACATTTTGGATAGGGATATTTCTCACTCTGGCAATATATGAGAGGTCATTGATGAGAATCAAATCTAATGTCATAAATGCTACCGCGCTTGATGAATGGGTACTTTCCAAGAACGCAATCGGGATGAGCATCAAAATCGCACTCATAACACCGATAAAACCAGAGCTTTGGATCTCTTCTATCTTCATAGATTTCACACATGTGTTGAAATGGATCACCATCATCATCCTTATAAGGATCTTCAGAAGTGAGTTTTAGAGGGTGATGGTGGAACCTATGTTCAGCTGTAAGGGGCCGTGTCATGCATCTGTAGTCCAAGGCAAATTTGCAATTCTCCTCTTCTTCTGCTAGCGTGCATCTGTAACCACCATAATCACCCATTTCTTTACCGCAGCCACTACATGGTCCCTTGTGATCTCGATCATAGAAGAGGGAATGCTGAGCATGTGCTTCATGGGTAGTGATGAAAGGGATCTCACTACATCTGAGGCAAATTGGACCGTCAAAATCATAATCATCATATTTCCAGGAAGAAAAACCGCTACAGTCATGCTTACAAAATTGACATCCAAAATAGAATCTCATCCTAACTCGAAGAGGATCTTGGAAAGCCCAATGTGGTTTGTCCACTCGAATTTGGGCACAGGCCTTGTGAAGGGAGAAATTACACTCTGGTTGTGGACAACTGTAAGCGGCGGTCAAGATCGGTAATGCACACCCATTGCAACATTTTTTATCACCATTTGTAATAATCTCATCATTATCAAGCACTAATTCATGCTCGTGGCTGAAATGCTTTATCTCGTCTCCTAGCACCACAGCACAACTAGAAGAAGAAGAAGCCTCATCACTTTCCTCATTCTTTGACTCAACTTCGATATAAAGATGACTTTTATTCCTTTTTACGCAACTCCCATGAAGAACATAAGTACAATCTGAGTGGAAACATTTGCAACTCCCATACTTTGCCACCACCTTTTTGAAACAATATCGACAGGTCCATTTTTCACCCACTTATTGTGGAAACCTGTAGTTGTGGTCGAGTATATGATGATTGTGCAGTTTGAATTTGATGAGTTTTGGCAGGAAAATACAATACCGATGAATCATGATGCTGCACTCTAAACAAAAATAGCAAGCGTCATCTCCTCCCCCCCCACATGCATCGCAAATGAAGGGATTTTTCCTCATGAATGGGCTCAACTGGTGGTCATGGATCTTACTTTCTGGGAAGAATCTGGGTAAGGTACACTCATGATGAATATAAAAGTCACAAGAGGGACAGGGGCATTTATATCCAATTTTCTTCTCATCATTTTCATCTAGGCAAAAGTTGCAGGTATAATTTGTTGAAAATACAGGAATAAGAGGGTGTTCAGGGTGGGCAACATGCTCAATCTTAGGCCACAACTCTGCCTCACATTCTTTGTGAAGGAAAAATCCACAATCAGGACAATTATAAAAAGAAGTGCCCAATAATGGTTTTGAGCAAACAGGAAGAATTTATTTTAACTTCGTTGCTAAGCATTTGGACAAAGACGAGTGGGTGTTCAACATGGCTAAAATGATGATCACGTTTTGGGAGATCTTTGGTGTGAGCAAAGCACATCGGGGACCAAGATGGAACTCACAAGAAGAACAGCTATACCTAGATCCCTCGATATCATTAAGACAAAAGTTACATGCTTGCTGTAAGAATCTTTTTCGGTTAGTCTAATAGCATGTTTATCATGGAGAGAGTGATTAATTTTCAAAGGTAGCTCTTTAAAAGCAAATGATTTATTAACGAAAAATTCAGAGTCGGGACAATAGTAAAAAGAACTACCTGATAATGATTCTTTGCAAACAAAGCAATTAGAACACCGTTTAACTTCTTTGCTGTTGCTAATAAGGTCCTTTCTGATGAAGAAGAGTGGGTGTTCATCAACATCACTAAAATGTTGATCACGTTTTGGGAAATTTTCAATGACGACTTGTGGGACAACAGGGAAAAAAAAAGAAGAGGAAACGATTACAAAATTAATTTAAGATTCGAGATTAATCTCAGAAAAATTAATCCAGAAATTGTTACATAAAGCTCAGAAA